GAGCGCTGTCAATCTAGACAATCTACTCGGATCAGACAATCAGCTGTTCTAGTGTAAATATTGTGATTTTGTTTGTTAATAAATTAATTGTCTATTTATTTTAACCCTACTAACAGGAAATCAATTCCATTAATAAACCTCTAACTTAATGATTCTGGGAAGAATGAAAAGTTTGATGAAAAGTGTGGCTACAACTATTGGATAGAAAACAGTGGCTTGAGGAAGGTATGCTATTCAGAGAGGTGAATAAGCTTATTTCCTTTTATTTTGGTGCGGGAAAAATCATCCCGTAACAAGCTTCATGATTTATTTTATCAATTTTCGTGTTCGCCTGCTCTGTAAAGAAATAAAATAAAACATGTTCGGGTTTTTTCAAACTCTGATCAATTCTAAACGATCTGAGCACAGTTCTATGGACTGAATATAGCTTTTTTCAAACCCGCGCAAATTATTATCGAAATTTGTGATAGCCGAGCCGTTGTCATTTTGTTGTCGGTTACACTGGGCAATTGTTCTGAAGCGTCCCAGAAACCGTCCTTTTTTCAAACCCGAACAGGTTATGTTTTTTTTCACTCTTTCGAGCCCATGCTCTGCACTGAAGCTCATTTTGGCTTATTGTACATCATTTCCATGGACTCTACTCCTTCCAATTTATACTAGAGTCTAAATGGTCGGCCCTTATCATGCATCCCTCTCGGCATCCCTCACCCTAAGATGGTCTGATTCGCAATCCATGGTCGGCCATTCAGAATCCACCGACATCACGCAAGCCTGAGAAAGTCCTTTCACATCCTCTCGTCAAGCTAACGAGCCGGTTAAACACCACAAACAACAAGCAACCATGCCCTAGCCGGGATTCTAACCCGGAACCCGCGAAGCAATACACTAACCACTACACTGCCTAGGTCGGCTTGCAGGTTATGTTTTTGTGTTATTTGAGAGTTGCCGACAATTGTAGGTTGCATTAAAATAGTATAGTAATCAAAATATTCCATAAAAACTTGAAAATAATAGGTAATATATCATATAAGAACATTGGACAAAATTAAAATCAAAAGTAAGTTTAGCAAATGGGTAGTACCGAAGGTAGTACTGGAACTATAAAGTAGGAAAGTCATCGGTAATAGGGGCGGCAAAAATACCTTTTGCACGGGGCGCCGAAATGTCTGGAGCCGGCCCTGCTTCTGATCTAGATCATTTTTTTGTTGATGAGGGTGCACTGAACCAGCTTGAATCGAACACAGTGTGGTTCATTTAAATTGAACCAGATCGATCTAATCCGGTCAATCGAATCGGCTATAGAGGAGAGTGATATAGGCTATTTTTTATCCCGAAAAAAAAAGTTCGGTTGCGTAAAACTCTGATACACTGGAACGCCTATAAACAGCCCGGGGCGCTCTAGAGCAGCTCTGGAGTGCTTAAAATGCGTCACTGAACTCACTGGCAAGCGACTCTGATATCGGATTAAAAAAAAAAAAATTAAATAGAAAATCAACAACAAAATTTGAAAAGAAGTGTATTATTTCAAAATGTATTTACACGCTGGCAACGCAGCGGGTCATTAGCTAGTTTCTTTATAAAAATGGACAAAACACAGTAAATTCAGTAGGAAATAAAATTATCTATATACCACGACCACGGAAATTATCAGGTGTTAATACCCACGGGCAATTGGAGTCAAACTTTGCCCAGGAAGCCGTTCGGTTCGGTAGATTTTCTTCGATTGTGACGTCATTTTCGGTTTGGTAGCGTGGAAGCTATTCCGTAGCATTAAACCGATCGGTAACTCAATCGAAGCCTCGATTCGCTGACCGATAGCACTGTGGGTTTCGATTTGAATTTCGGTAAAGACTTTTGACGTTATGGTGACGCGTGTTAATGTTTAATCAGTTTTTTTCAATATACATTTTATATTTTTAGGCACAGAAGGAAACAGATAAGACCAGTAATAACAGGATTAACATGAGGCTCCTCGGGGATTCCTCTTCCAGTGAAAATCCTCGAGTAGAAGTAGGAGTGTTTTCAGTGTTTTCATCCAGGAATTTTGTTACCCTCGTCGCAGCAATGTCAATATTTACGATTTAGATTTTTGGCTGATTGTGGCCGTTCTTCTCTGCGTGTTTTGAAGTGTCAGTATTTTGCAGAGTCGGAGTACGAATGTTTCATGCTGCAAAGTTTAACGATTTTTTTTTGAGCCGATGAGCAGAAACCCTCGGAGATCCGACTGGGGGAGTGTACCGTACCTCCGAACGTTTCTGATCTACTAAAACAATCCATCTTGTGTAGCAGCAGATGCGTGTGTATATAGCCAAGAGTAGCAAGCTCTTCTCTCCAGCTTTGGTTATAGCCGTGACGCTTGGTGTATTCGCATTACTGGCGGAACCGGCAAAAAGCAGAACAAAATTGAAAACTAAATGTAAACAACACAAACTTTCATTTAACTGTCAACCAATATCAAAAAATAGCCTGACAACTATCATTTTGTCAACTGTCAAGCACGAATACAAGCATTCTGATTGGTTGGGAGCATAGCAATCCGACAACATTGCATGGCGTTCGGAAATTTTTCTGGTTGCCCTTCGATTCCTATCAAACCGAACGAAATGGTTACCGAATAGCCATACTGAATAGACCTATCTCGTATGATTAGAAAAAGAGAGCTTAATTGTAATAAATACAAGTTAGAAAGCAATAAAAGATGACATGCGCGCGCAACTCGTAGGCTGCAGTGTAGCCAGATTGTATTGTTGCAGAACAAATGTAGACAATACAAATCGAACATTATAACATTAAAGAAGTGATATAGTGTCAAGTGTTTTACAACGCCTTGAATCAGACAAAAGAAGCGCTTGAAAAGTTTATGTTAACATCGTTTACACTTTTATTTTGATAAATGTTTCATCCGGCAACATCACACAATGAAATTGCAAAGGAATATGTCAAGTATAATCTAACATAACCTTAAACGAAACTGCGGTGAGTTCAAGTAATGTGTAAAGTATTAGACTCTTTGTCAAATTACACGTTACAAAGAAAGAAGGAACGATTCATTCTGAACTGGCCCCTGAATAAGAATATGACGCAAGCCTGTCACAAACTTGCTTCTCATTGGACGCTCACCTGCAGCCTACAAGCGACGCGCGCAGTCCAGGTAATAGGAGATCGGTCTAAAGAAGTGATATATGGTCAAGTGTTTTACAACGCCTTAAGTCAGACAAAAGAAGAGCTTTAAAGTGTATGTTAACATCGATGGCACTTTTATTTTGATAAATGTTTCATCCGGCAACATCGCACAATGAAATTGCAAAGGAATATGTCAAATATAATCTAACATAACCTTAAACGACACTGGGATAAGTTCAAGTAATATGTAAAGTATTAGTTTGTTCTTTGTCGAATTACACGTTACAAAGAAAGAAGGAACGATTAATTCTGAACTCGTACCTGAATCCGAATATGACGCAAGCCTGTAACAAACTCGATTTTCATTGGACGCTCACCTACAACCCACGAGTTGTGCGCGCACACCAGGTATTACGAGACACGTCAATTGACCTTTTGTTTGAACGCCATATTGCGGTGCGCGAACACAGTTGCCAAAAGTAGAAGAAAAAAAATTCCTAGCGTACTGTCAACATTAAAAACAAAAGTTACTGAATAAATAACATTTAAAATTTAAATTTGCCGCATATTACGAATGTTTTTGAAAAAAAAGGTCATCAATTTTAGCTTGTATTGGGCAGAATAGAAATAATAAAATATCTCCCTATTTACTTTCATCAATCAGAGAGAGAAATTAAACAAACAAAAAGGATAGCGAGGATTAATCATTTAGTTACTTTTGTTTTTAATGTTGACAGCCCGCTAGTAATTTTTGTTTTTTTTCTTTTGGCAACTATGTTAGCGTACCGCAATATGGCGTCCAAAAAAAAGGTCAATTGCAAAGTACGCTATCGAACCGAATGTTCGATAACTGTGCCGTTCGATAGTGTACCGAACCAAGAGATTCGGTCTACAAACAATAAATACAGAATAAGGCCCCTGGGGTATTAACACCCTCATAATTCCCTTGATACATAAATAACTATAAAATTCATATCATGTTTTTTTTTTGGAAAAGCTGTCGGACTCGTTGATCTTAATTTTTAGTGACGGTGTTATTAAACTAATTTGTATTTATACAAGGTGACCCAGAAAAGAGATGTCACATGACACTTCAATTTTTTTAATGAAATGCCCTATATATTTTGATGGATATCGATAGAGGGAGAATTCATCTTGATGCGCTCTATCGATATTCATCGAAATATACAAAGCAATCCATTTAAAATTTTGAAGTGTCACGTGATATCTCACCTTGTATAAACGTCAAATAGCTTAAAAACAGCCCCACTAAAAATTAAGATTGATCTGTCCAAGCGTTTTCCCAACAAAAAAAAATTGCTTTAATTTTAGATGAATTTATCTGTTACTTTACTGACACACTATAGTTGTATTCCTTTCACACCTAGGAGAAGCTCCGGAACAGCTCCGGGGCTTCACGCGCTTATTTCTTTCGAAAAGTGTTTGTTGCACCACGCATCTGTTCCCTGCAAATCGGGGGCGACTGAACACCGGAGCGAGTAGCTCGAGTGTTTCAAACTCTTGAAAGGAATACAACTATTATGTTTTCTTACATTATCCGAAAACGACCCCAATTTTGCTAAAATCTATCCACAATTACCAATTTTAACCTCTTGGTAGCCTCCATAATGCAAATTATTGAAAGTTATTTGACCTTGAATAAAGGTGCAAAAATTTAATAATACATATAGGGTATTCCATGTCAAGTTTAGTGAGAAGTAGCAACACTGCACCTTTTAAAATATTTTTAAACGACAGAGGATGTTTCGTTGTGGCCGTAACCAAAATTTTAAACTGATCTGACTTTTAGTTCTCCAGAAACGTCTAATGGTCCATCGACTCAACTGTGAATCACCCTGTATAGGTACTGTACTTACAAATCGAAAATTTTATCAATCTTCTCCTTTCCTTCCGTGTAATTTTTTCTAAGTAAACTATCTAATGAAGTATCACTTGCAGCAGGATCTTCATTATATTCTATTATATCTAAATGTCCAACCCAAAGATCATTCTTGCGTTTTTTCTGCTTCAAGTCCCCCAAACATAGAAAACTAGTTTCAGCTAAAATAATTCAGTTTTGACTGTTGAGTAGATAATAATTTATTGCAAAGCAAACTTACTTTCTCTGTTCAGTTCTTGCTCTGATAAACTTAAGTTTGCCTTTTGCGCCACTTTCTCAATAAATTTTTTCAGCTCATAATAGGATGGAACATTTGAATGGGCTCGATATTTTTTAGTTAAAGCACTATTAATTTCATCATACTTTGATTTTACATAGTGAATTTTATCATTTGCTAATCCACTACGAGGGTTTCTACCAATATACTGGCAATATTTAGCATATACTTTGTTGAGACGAGCGAGATATCTTAAAACACAAGAAATTACTAAAAAAAATAAGTTATAATTCATTCTACTTACTTATCAACCAAAATATATGCAGAATCGCTATCATTATCATCATTTAAATTAACTTCAGCTTCATCCAACTGTTTAATTTTGTTCTTCAATAACTTTATAGTTTTCTCCAGTTTTTTTATTTTGGGATAATTATCTTCCTCGACTGTTATTGCCGCACCATCCACGTGCGTTCTCAAGAAGTCGAAAACTTGATGAAAAGCCAACACGGTCACCTTTGCTGCTTTGGTATTTGGAGATGTTTGAATGTTTTCAATGACTTCAATTAAAATCTTCTTAAATTTTTCTCCGTATACGTGAGAACCACATTTTTTGAAGTACTTTTCCAATATGGGTACTTTTTTCGGTAAAATTTCCTCAAATGTAGAGTCTACAATTTTTTCTTCAACTAATTTGAGGAATTTTTTGAAATAAGTTCTGGATTCTTCCTGAAAATAAATATTGTTTCTATTAGAGGTAATAATGTAACAAAGTACTCCAGTAAAATTACTGTAGGTACACAACCCAAACGTACAATCAATAGCAAATATTTATACCACACCGTACATTACAATGTTAATATTATACAGGGTTGTCGTTATATATTATGTAAACGACCTAATATTTCAGAACCCGCTTTAAAAAAAATGTAAATGTAATCGACTCTAAAGCCTGTTCTGAAATACAAGACCGTTTCCATAGAGTTCAACAAAAAAACAATGTTGCCATATTTCGAAAACTAAGTCAAATGTATGTTTGGGATTTAGGGCTTAAATAATGTTGGGGCGCTGAATTAATTACAATTAAAATAAAGAAAGACTTTCATTTGGGAAAATTAAGATACACACAGCATCTTAGGAACGGTAAACTTGGGAATATTGCAAATACCACCATTGAATCGGGCATTCCCAGAAACATTGGATATGTTACTTAAGCGCGTTCTGAAATATTAGGCCCTTTCCATACATAACGACAACCCTGTATAGTATTGCCCCTAATACTACCTGCCTAGATTTTAAGAACATGAATGTACCGTGTGTTCAATTTATCTTTATCAAGGTAAACAAAAAAACAAAATGAAGGGTTAATATTGTCCGTCGATTTTAATCTGATACTCGGAAGGAAAGTGAGCTGGTGGCTCCCTACATTAGAACTCAAATGGTTACCTGACGTCACACCTGTATTTGCCATATTGAACACCCCCTCGCTACTCATACGAAAAGTGTCAGTTAAAAATCGACAAACAATAGCCAAGTTTTTTTTCAAGTTACATATTGTGACGCGTTCGCCAGCATGTACAGAATCTAACTTGGAATCTAGAAAATACTGCTTTATTCAGGCAAAAAGATTATCGCGTTTATTCTGGATTCTACACGAATAGATTGCGGATATATAAAGGCCGGTATTAGTAAGTAGTTTTAAGTTTAAGATCGGCTGTGATACGTTTTAGATAGTGATTATTGTAAAAGTTGTAAAGAGTTAAGTTGTTTGAGTTAATTAGTGAAGTAATTAATGTCAGAGTGTATAGTAACGTGGAATAAATTATTGTTGTGTTAGTTAGACTTTGATTTTGGAATAAACGAACCCAAGATTTCTGTCACACACCCCAGAGTCGTGACAATATAAAAACAAAACACTATCAACTTTCTAACATATTAGCCTATACAGTGAGGGGCAAGCTACTAGGTATATAGGATGTAACCTGACGAATTTGCAGGCGTCCGCATGTCAGAAAATGACAAATCGATTTAGCGCTAACCTGGCGACAACCAAGTAAAAAGTTTCTAGGGTTATTAATAATTTTCAAAAATACGGTTGTGTTTCTCCCTGAAACCAAACGAAATGACGTCCCGGAAAATAATGAGGATCAAGAAGCCAAATAAATTATGTTGTTGGTTGTTGGCAATAGTTAACAAAACTTCAACTATTTCGACTCGTGCGCTTGCGCAGGATATTGACTCAGTACAAGGACGGTTAGGAGCCACAGAAAAAAAAAAGTATCGTTCGTAGAAAGTAAGAAACTCCCAAAAAATTGATCCTGAGGACAACATCAGGCGAATGGATTTTTGTGAAACTGTCATTAATAAGGCAAATGAAAATCAAGATTTTCTTAGAAAAATTGTCTTTACAGATGAGTCGACATTTCAACTCCATGGTCGACATAATCCTAGTCACACCCGTTATTGGTCTAAGGAGAATTTACACAGGTATTTTGAGCTTAGAGCCCAGCGTCGTCAAAAGGTAACTGTCTGGAGCGGTTTGTGTGGATAACATATTATTGGGCCGTACTTCATGGACGCTAACTTAACTGGTCCAAAATATTTGGATCTTTGCAACGGGCCAACGGCAGATAACCAGAAATTGAAAGATTATCTGGTCCTATAGATTTAATGAAATATGGTATCAATAAGATGGATGTCCAGCCCATAATACAGGTTTCATTCTGGACCAATTGAATAATACTTTTCCGAACCGTCTCATTGCTGGGTCGAGAGCTACAATACTGTGACGCTCTCCCGATCTTGCACCCAACGATTATTTTCTCTGGGGTTATTGCAAATCAAAAATGTATGGTTTTCAGGAGAATCGCGCCGTGAACCTTGAGCAGCTGCGTTTCAAAATTCGAGAAATATATCTAACTGTCACCCCTGTGATGCTAAATAATATTCGTAGAGCCTTCTATGATCGTTTAGGTCATTGTTTAGTTCAAGAAGGTGGACTGGGACTGTTTGAACATTTGCTACATTGTAGTGCAAATGGTAATCGAGCCAGGTTTTTGGGGTCAAAACTAGAATTTTTGTTTTTATTTTACTTAATTTTTTTTCGATTTTTTATGTTGAATATATTTTTAGTTTTTCCTGGATGGCTTTTTTAAAATACATGTTTTTTTTTCCATAGATTATTGTTTCGGTTCCAAAAAAAATCTATCTATACACGCCGTTTAATAATTATAAGTAAGTGAAGCTCGACGATACATCTAAAAGCACGGTCTAGATGCTACGTTTTGCATCAAGTTTTGTCTGCACAGTTCAACACGTGATCGATCAGGTATCAGTAACGTAACGTCTGGACCGGGCTTAAGTCTGTAAAATCATAAAACGTACTGATGTGAACCATGGTTTATGAACATCAAAGTCATCGAAAAAACGACAGTGGACCGACAGCGACAGGTGTTCAGACGGCTGCGGACGATCGTAAATTCGTCAAGTTGGATCCTATATACCTAGTAGCCTGCCCCTTACTGTATATTTTTTTAAATGAAACGCCCGAGAAAACACCCTATATATTATTTATGTATTTAATAGAACATCTTATTCAGATTACAGTGGACACACTTCATATTTTAGTCCACTAATTTTTGACAAATCGGCCAAAATATTAAATTTTTATTTACACACTTGGGTCTTTCCCACTCAATTGAATTTAGGTATTTCATTCATATCGTTTGGAAGCTTATCCGATGAAATACTCAAAGGGTCATGTGGTTGATTTTTAAAAAAATTATTGAGGGAGATATTAAAGGGTAAAGAATGGCAATATTTGAAATAGTCCGCCAGATTTGGCACCAATCAGAACGCGCTTAGTTGCCCGATTTACCGGCCGAAGCTGTTCCCTATCGACATTTTTTCTTTCTACTTGAATGAAGAGGATAGAACAGGAAAAAAATATCGACACAAATGTGGTTTATCGTTTATCAATTTCTATTCCAGCCTATTTTTATTTCTAACCTACATCGACATCATCTGGGACTAAAAAGGTACCTTTTGTAAATAAAACATTTTCGTTTCGTGCTTTTTATTGTAGTTTTCAAAGAGTGAAGACTTTTTTGTGTTAAAATCGAGGTTGAAATTGAAAGTTGTGAAACAGGGAATTAAGAAAGCCGATTCTGAAAATTCACCCCAAGTGAACATGAAATATTTAATTTCCAATGCAATCTACTTCAGTACTGAAATGAAAAATGTGAAATTGAAGAGGTGAGATTTATTTTGTATTATTCTTCACCAAAACTATTAAACTATATAGTCCAAACTAGGTTCCTATCTCTGTCTACTAAGGTTTATTTTGGTTTTTAGATTACCAAAAACAAAATATAGTCAATGCTGTTAGTTATGTACAACGTAAAACCGAAGAGAGAAACCCAAAATTGAACCTACTGTTCAGTGTAGAACTGTAGAAGAACCCCAGAACACAAAGTACATAAGAGTAAATAAGAGTCATGGCAGATGAAGCGAATAATAGCATCTGAACTGGGAATGTAGGTGAAGATTGTGTGGATAGATAGAACTTCATTGAGCCCCAAAAACGAAAATCTCACTCGTATGTATAGGTACTTACATACAATGTATATGATCTAGAGAATTTGGTCAGTTTAAAAAACATATTTCTAGAATTATGTAACTAGAAACTAGAAGAATATTTTATGTGAGAATTTCATACATCTGTCAAAACTGGTATTCCAACAATAAATTGACATGTTTTGATTGTTGATTTGAACCAATCAGATTGTAATTACGCGATAATTTGCACTAGTGCAAATTATCAGATAATTGCATACTAACTGGTGCGAAAACTGGTGTTTTGACATTTTTTGACAAAAAATTTTAATTTTTGATTTATGAAATTCTCTCATTAAGTACAACTCGTGCAATGGAAATACAGGGTGTCCTTAGATAAACTGACACATTTTACAGGTGAATATCTCGAAAACGAGGAAAGATAACGGGATGCGGTTTGTTCTGGAAGAACAAGGATTTTTTAAAGTTTTTTTTTCATGGTATTCACTAATCCTGAAATTTGGTTTTACAGAGATTCAATTTTTTGAAATAATTACATACTGCTTTATTCTTGATGAAACACCCGGTATATTTTGCCATCGTCAGAAAGCTTGATTTTCCTACTTTACAAAAATGTATAATTTTTTCCAATTATCATGAAATTGAATCGTAAAAATTGCACTTTGTTGAAGAGTGTAGCATCGACTGGCCAAAAAAAGATAATAATATGTAAATAATTTGTGTTTTATATCCACTTATTTGTGTTTATTACTTGTATTATTAGTTGACTATGCGCTAATTAGTTGATAAAAGTATTAAACACAAATTAATTCTCATTTTTTTTTTGGTTAGTCGATGGTATTCTCTTCGACAAAGTGCAATTTTCACGATGCAAGTTCAAGATAATTGAAAAATATTATACATTTTTGTAAAGTAGAAAAATAAAGCTTTCTGACGATGACAAAATATACAAGGTGTTCCATTAAAAATAGGGCATTCATTTTATTTCAAAAAATCGCATGTCTGTAGAACCAAATTTCAGAAAATTTTAGGATTCGGCAATTATGTGAAAAAAAACTTCAAAAAATCCTTATTCTACCAAAACAAACCGCATCTCGTTATCTTTTCCCGTTTTCGAAATATTTACCTGCAAAATGTGTCAGTTTATCTAAGGA